TCTGTCTATGGTGAAAATTAGTCATCGTGCATGTTTATGTCTATGTACTTCTTGTATGGAAGGATGCTTCCTGCTCGTTTTCGTGGATTATTTTTTCGGCAAAACTGAAATGTACAATATTTCTGCATTTTCCTTAGTTGTTCATCATATGACACTCATGGTTTGGATGATTGTTTCTGTTTGTGGCTAATGCATGTACTGACTTCGTTGGATTCGTTGACATTTTTTTTAATTATTCTAGGTATCTTCCCCAGAGTAAAGAAGATGCAGAAGACGTATCAAAGTTTCTGCAATTGGTCACTACATTGCTCGTGATTTTCCTTATTTTTAATCTTCAAAGGATGATGAGGCTGATTTTGTTATTGCTAATGCAGATCAAATACGTAACTGGCTCTTATGATACTGCAGAAGGCTTTCAGGCATTGGACAAGGCAATAACTGAGCAGGAAATATCAAAGAACATCAGAGAAGGACTATCCAGAAGGCTCTTTTACCTTGCACTTCCCCCATCAGTATACCCACAAGTCTGCAAAATGATCAAGAGTTACTGCATGAATAAATGTATATGTTCTTTCTTCAGAATTATGTTTAGCATTTCTGAAAACTAATGCATGCTATTAGTCTTCATTATTGAACTTTCATCATGTGAATGTCTCCAATTATCATCAGGCCTTGTTACAGATTATTGCAGACAGTAATTTTACTACCATCTTCTTGTGCATCTTATTCAGGTTGCTATTAGTGCGTGGTACTTATGCTTTGTGTTATTAGGAGCTGAAAAAGAGGGTACAACTGAGAGAAGAAATGAACAATTTTTGTCTTGACAGAAATTTTCCTGAAGATTCGACAGTCCAAATTCTTGAGATAGAACTAATTGAAGGGGGAAAATTTTTTTATATACTTTTGACAACTGGATGAAATTCATAGATGACCAACGGAAGTGTAGACAGTAAACCTTGCTCAGCTTAACAATATTGTTTTCTGGTTCCCCCAAGATTGAATTTTTAGGCTTAGCTATGTGTCTGAATGGTGCAAGACAATTGTTTTGCGTTTTTATTTCTACAAAAGAATAGAGTTCCTCATTAACACAAAAATGAAGAGAACACTTAAAGTGATTAGTTATCAAATTCTGCTGCATTCTGTTTATCTGATACCTTTCCATCTCTTTAGCCACTTGTTTAATTAACCATTCAGGCAGTTAGTTTCAAATTTTTATGAATCCTTCATGTAATATTTTTCAGCTGATCTCGGTGGATGGACTCGAATTGTTGTTGAGAAGCCCTTTGGCAAGGATTTGGCTTCAGCTGAAGAACTGAGCTCCCAGATAGGAGAATTATTTGATGAACCGCAGATATATCGTATTGATCATTATTTGGGAAAGGAGCTAGTGCAGAACCTGGTAGTGTACCTTACCAGATTATCTCATTGTTTTAGTCCAGTTTTTTGGAACTTATTTGTCATGATGTCTTGTGAAACATTGCAGTTGGTACTTCGTTTTGCAAATCGTCTCTTCTTGCCTCTCTGGAATCGTGACAACATTGATAATGTACAGGTTGGTATTTTTACACTTCCTTCTAATCCCTCCCTCCCTC